ACATTTATATTAATAAATATTAAGTATTTATTAATATAAATGTAGAATATCTTTTATTTTTATTAAAAGCTAATAGAATAATAAGGTAGTGTTTAAGGCGACTTTAGCTGTAAAAGTGGGTTTTTGACAGACTTTTGATACGGCACTGGTAGACACGTGTGCTGAAATAGAACGTATTGATGATGGGGAAGGGTAAGAAGATGATGTAAGAGCAGAGAGCGTTGGTAAGACCGGCTTGTTTGAGGGGTCGACTTGGAGATGTAACGGAACCGCAGGAGCACTGGATCACGGGACAGCGAGGCGTCATTTGTTTTAGCCGTGCCTGATCAGAGCCCCGATGTGGTCCTTTTCAGGCGGACGAGGGGTTAAGGGGGAGTACCGTCTCTACTACTGCCGAGCATTCAGTCGGACGAGGTGATGGCTTGGCTGGCATTTTAACACTTATATCCGAGTTCTTAGCCCTAGTCTCCTCCCTCTTAACGCGTCGAGTACCTGTACTGCATGGCATATCGAATTGACTTCAAGTACCGTGTTTGATTCGATGAAAAATACAGCCAACGCGACGAGGATTCTTTGCGCGTTCTCAGTGCCGTGCATTCCCACCCCAAACCGGGCTCCCGGAACGACAACGCACACAAGGCTGATAAGCGACAATAGCAAGCTGGTTTCGGGCTTATGCAACACGGATGCAGTACCGGACATATCAGCCAAAATTGGCATCATGTTTTCCCGTGCTTCAGCATGGCGTACCGGCAGCCACATCCCGCAGACCTCGGTCCCCTTTTCGTCCAAGTTGCATGACTTGCAGGCAGCCGTGTTATCTCGGCGCCTTGCATGACGGCGCGACTACAACACGGATTGGGTGATACCAGACATGTTTTTTTGTCTTTTAGGCTCCTGTTCCCACAATGGCCCCTGGAGTGTAGATTTAGACCCCTTTGTGTCTGCATAGGGTGTCGCATGCCACATGGTCTGGGCCGGGATTGCAGACCAACCTGCCTATATGCGGCTCAATTCTGACAGCCGTGATAGTGAGAAGAGATGAATTACCGATGCGACGGTAGGCTTCTGGAGAGAGAATAAATAGCCGTTCCAACCCAGAACGCTCAAGGACATCTCTTTTCAAAATATCTCGCTCCAATTTCATCGCCTGACAAGGCACCCTGCAATCACTAATTTGAAAAATCTACCCGACAAAGATATATTCACCATGCCGGATCAGTCTGTTTCGTCTGCTGTTGTTGAGACGGGTCAGGTCGTGCAAGAAACTACATATTACTCGTAAGCCATCTCTGAAAAAACATCATTCTTCCACATTCTTCAATTTTTGAGATGTGGCCTGGTCAGGCTCAGCATGCTTGTTCTCTTGCAAGCTTAATTTGCCTCCTTACTCCACACTTCATCCTAATCTAGGCTCAATTGTTTTTCAATGCCTATGCTATGCTTTTTATACCCCTATTCGCTTTCCTCGTTTGCATCACCCTGTCCAAGCAAGACCTTTCAAATGGCAACAAGGTGTCTCATACACTACTACAGGGCGAACGCGAATCCCTCCTACCCGCTGGACCAAGTTCCAGAAACCAGCCTGGCTTCTCTAGGTTACTTTTTGTATGAAAACAGAGCCAGCGAGATGCCTATCAGTGAGCGACTTGTGAAGAAGCAGTTTGAGTAGACCATGTGGGCATGGGATCGGTGATGGAGGTACGGCGTGTATGATCATGGGGGTAGGCTAAAGAAAATACCATGTTCCTGTTTATTCGTTTTCCGAGTCACATACCTCTACCTGCAGTTGAAGCGTAAGAAAAGAGCGGCGTATCCTCCAATTCTAGCCTTGGTCCTGCATGCCATGCCGGCCCCCGATGCACAACCAGCCCGGTTTGTTACAGATATTAGCCCCCAAGTATTTCAAAAGGTCCCCGGACTCAACTGTGGAGCCGCCAGGCAATCAGATTTCGCTTGAAAGATTCTAGATCCCTTCTCCCGCGGAGTATTAATACGTGGCGCGCCCGGCGAAATAGCGATGACGAGTAAGGCTGAGCGTTTTATTTTAGGACCAGACTCCAACTGCCTGAACGTGCTCCGACACATCAAGGTCGGCCTGGACGGCTTCCTTATTGCGGCAGTCTTCAGGCCGGATAGTTACGTCGGTCGTATTGAAACGCGAGGCCGTCCCTCGGCCACGGGAGAAGCCGAATAACAAGGGGCACGACATGGCAGCCCTGTCTTTGGATGCGGGCCTGTGTTGATTGTAATGGTCAACTAGTGCTCCCTTCCCATGCACCCACGTGTTATTTAGCGCAAAACCGCCAAGCGGAGTGCCATGACTTGGGGTTGTATTCGTTCCGAGCTCCTCATGTACTCAGCACCCCTGAGATGTTTGCTGGTCCTGACCAACAGCGTGTCTCACTTGACGGCTGGCGAGGTTGGATCTCAGCTGATGCTTTGCAGGCGCCGTCTCACTGCCCAAACCACCCTCCAAAGCCGAGAAGAAGAAGCAAATTGAGACATGGCAGGCAGCGACGCCAGCGTGTGCCTCAGTTGGCAAATGGAA